GGGGAGCGCGGAGAGGGCGCGGCCAGCAGGCGCCCCCCAGAAGATGGGTGCTGGAGCGCAGGGGCCGCCCGGAGCGCAGCTTCACCACCGGGTCCACGTTCAAGTCCATCTTCTGCCGCTACTTGGCTCTGCGGTCTTGAGCAAGTCGATGTCCCTTCTTCCCGAGCTCCGGTTTCGCCCTCTCTCAAGGGGGAAGGACAGCACGGGCCTAGAAGCGCTTTTGGGAGGCTGGGCGAGGCTCTAGCTTAGCACCAGGAAGAGGCACAAGGGACGGGCTGCAATACGGTCACTCCTGTGGCCTGAGTGAGGAGTGTGGTCAGGAACGGTGGGCAGGTGGCCCCGGGACGTGGCCTCCTCGGTGGGGAAGGGTCGCCATGAGATGCCCTGGTGACTGGATCCATCCACGTGGGTTTTGGGTTTTTGTTTTGGTCACACCTTTATTAAGATGTAACCCAGAACTAGCCAGGCGTGGTGGCCCATGCCTGTCATCCCAGCATTTTGGGAGGCAGAGGCGAAAGGATTGCCTGAGCAGCTCGGCGAGACCTCATCTCTACAATAAATCAAAAAATTAGCCGGGCGTGGGGGCACACACCTGTGGTTCCAGCTACTTGGAAGGCTGAGGCGGAAGGATTGCCTGAACCGGGCAGGTGAAGGCTGCAGTGGCCTGGGTGACAGAGTGAGACTCCAACTCAAAAACCACAACAACAACAAAAAAGATGTAATCGGCTGGGCTCGGTTGCTCAGCCTGTCATCCCCAGCACTTTGGGAGGCCGAGGTGAGTGGATTGCCTGAGCCCACGGGTTCGAGACCCGCCTGGGCAACTTGGTGAGACCTCATCTCTACAATAAATCAAAAATTAGCCGGGCGTGGTAACGCACGCCTGTAGTTCCAGTTACTCAGAAGGCTGAGGCGGACGGATCGCCGGAGCCCAGCAGGTCGAGGCTGCAGTGGCGGGGAGCAGCCACTGCACTCCCGTCTGAGTGACAGAGTGAGACTCCAACTCAAAAAAAAAAAAAAAAAAAAAGATGTAATCCAGAACTTGAGGCCAGGAGTTCGAGACCATACTGGACAACATAGGGAGACTGTCTCTAAACATAATAATACATTTTTTAAAATTGCCCAGATGTGGTGGTGCACACCTGTAGCTCCAGATACTCCAGAGGCTGAGGCAGGAGGATCACTTGCTCCCAGGCCTTTGAGGCTACAGTGATGATTGCACCACTGCACTCCAGCCTGGGTGACAGAGACTCCATCTCTAAAAACAAAAGATATAACCCACATGCCATACAATACATGGACTTTTGAACAACAGGACACTTCACATTACAACCTGGCTCTTTGGGTATTACTTGACAGATCTGGTGACATTTACACCTGGTCGCAGTGGAAGTCTGGGTTTTCCACAGCCCCTGCCTCTCCCTGATGTCTTACCTTAGCTCCCAAGAGCCTGCTGGATGTCCAAGAGGGAGAGGAGGCCCCTTACTTATCTGGGGAGGCACTTGTGTGGTTTGGGTACAAACTAGGAGTTCTTCACTGGAGACATGCAGGGTGTGGTTTCTGGCCCCAGGGAGCCCAAGCTCCAGAGAAGGAGACAGGCTTCAAAGAGGGGAGCCCTTGGTGTGGGGGTAGCCCAGAGGAAGCACCTGAGAGAGGTTGGGTATTCAGGAAAGACTGCCTGGAGGCAATAACATCCAAGCCAAACCCGGTGGGACCCAGTTGAAGAACTGTGAAGAATTGATAGGCCCAGGGTGGCCTGATGGCGACCCCCAGCTCCCTAGGCCTCTTCTCGTCTTGCTCCCCTCTGCACTCCAGCCCAGCCACACTGACCCTCTTTTATATTCCGGGACCGTGCCTAGCTCACTGCAGCCCCAGGGCCTTTGCACTTGCTGTCCCTGGTGCCTGGGATGCCCTTTCCCACCGCTTGATCCATGGCTGGCCCTTCTCACCCTTCGGGTCTGTGTTCTGTGTCATCTCCTGCAAGTGTCCCTCCCATGTCTTCTGTCTAAAGGAGGCACCCCTACTTGGGAGGCTGAGGCGGGAAGATGGCTTGAGCCCAGGAGTTCGTGGCTGCAGTGAGCAATGATTGAGCCATTGCAGTCCTGCCTGGGCAACGGAGCAAAATTCTGTCTCTTAAAAAATAAAAATATGTAAAAAGGAAGCACCCCATGACATCCCGGACACTCCCTGGCTCCTAGTCCTGCTTTGGCTTTCTCGTCATAGGCCTTCTCACTTGCTGAGATTATATCCTTTTTGTTTGTTTTGTTAGAGATAGGGTCTCGCTGGAGTGCCGTGGCACAATCATAGCTTGCTGCGGTCTCTAGCTCCTGGGCTCAAGTGACCCTCCTGCCTCGGCCTCCGTGTGCCACACCCAGCTAATGTTTTTTTTATTTTTTGTAGAGACAGGGTCTAGCTATGTTGCCCAAGCTGGTCTCAAACTCCTGGACTCAAGCACTCTTCCTGCCTCAGCCTCCTAAAGTGCTGGGTTGACAGGCATGAGCCATCATACCTGGCCTGACGTATTATCCCTTTATTTGCGATTTTGGTTGTTGGAATGTGAGTGCCAGTAGCAAAGGGCTTAAGTGTCCCTCGTCTATAGTAACCTCAGTAGCTGGCAGAGTGGTGGGCTGCAGGAACACAGTATTAGTTAAGCACCTGCTGTGTGCAAGGCCTTGGAGCAGAGGATGTTTAGGCAGGGGATAAAGACTGAGTGCAATGCAGTTTGGCCCTGAGGGTAGTAGGGAGCCACGGAGGGTGTTTGAGCCGGGGTGGGCATGCAATGAGCATGGAAGCAGGCTGAGGGCTCGCCTGACCATGTCTCCGCCCTCCCTGCAGGGTCACCGTCCTCTCTCCCAACCCGCAGCCGAGGCAGGTCCTGCAGGTGAGTGGTGGCGCCCCGGTCTGGAGGCTAGGTTGCCCCGAGAGGGTGAGTCGAGGGGAACGAGGGGGACCTCTCGGGCCTTCCTCACCCTTCCTTCGCCCTGTCCTCTCTCCTGCGACGCCCCCAGGCCTGCCGGGTCGAGACAAGAGAGCCTCCCTGCCGGCGGAACCCGG